TGAGAAAAAAATGTTTTCAACACCAACAAAAGTTTTTTTTTTTTTTTTTTTTTTTTTTTTTTTTTTTTTTTTTTTTTTAAGTCTGATGGATTCTGATTGGCCCTCAGTGTTTTTGTCAGTGCTTTACATCTGTGTGTGTGTGTGTGTGTGTGTGTGTGTGTGTGTGTTGCAGTCAGCTGAGACACACTAACCTGGTGCAGTTATTAGGGGTGATCGTGGAGGAACAAGGCAGTTTGTGCATCGTGACAGAATACATGACTAAGGTCGGTGGTGTTTCTCTCAATGTTGCTGTCAAAAGTTGTATCGTGAGCTCATTTATGCCAATAGATTGCTTATGATCTACTGTGTGTGACAATGTTCTCTGTATTTTATTTAATATTGTATTATGTTGTAGATGGTGGTAAGTGCATGTTTTATCTCTTTAATTTTGTAACTGGAAGTAGTAAAGCATTAACATTTCAAAATAAGAGTTCCAGTCTATTTCGGGCTTGTTTATAATAAGTAATAATATGTTCTGCATTGTATCTCAATATGTTTTTTAAATCATATTGCATCTGAACAGCAACTTCTCATTAATGAGTGAATGTGAAAAAAATGTCAAAGTTACCATGTTATTAACATGTTTTTATTTCATTTAGCCTTGTTTTATTCATTAAAAATGTTTATATATATATATATATATAATGTATATAGATATGCACATGCACATTTATGTATAATATTCAGGATTAATAAATATATCATTGTATGAAATTTAAAAAAACATATCATCTGAGAATTACTGATGTTAGCCCCATTGGAATGAATGAAATTTGATTAAATTACTTTAAATTTTTTTTCTAACAAAACAATTACTAAATTTATTTTACTTGTACATGCTTTCACTTTTGGATGGAAAAAGTGATAATTTTTCCTGCTGCAATAGTTCGTCAATAGACAACATATTCATGTTCATCAACAAAATTCAGTCCAAAAGTGTGTGAGACATATGGGGAAAAGGTGGAATATATTTTGCAAACATTTTTGACACTAATATTATATAACTTCATAGATAATTTGACAAAAAGTATTTTTGGCACTAATGGTGCTCCATACATAGTATACCATATAAAATGACATAACATGAAATGTGACATGTTTTAAAAAATGGTTAAAAAATCTTATTCTTATTCTAATTTTTTAGAAATGTCTGTATCTCTGTCTAATCAATGATGTTGAGAAATCCTCAGATCCTGGTTAAACATCTGCAGCAGCCTGTTCAATTAAAGCAATCTGAGAAGCATGGTTTATTGTATATATATGTGTGTGTGTCTGTCTGTGTGTGTGTGTGTGTGTGTGTGTCTGTGCGTGTGTCTGTGCGTGTGTCTGTGCGTGTGTGTGTGCGTGTGTGTGTGCGTGTGTGTGTGTCTGTGCGTGTGTCTGTGCGAGTGTCTGTCTGTGTGTCTGTCTGTGCGTGTGTCTGTGCGAGTGTCTGTCTGTGTGTCTGTCTGTGGGTCTGTCTGTGCGTGTGTCTGTGCGAGTGTCTGTCTGTGTGTCTGTCTGTGGGTCTGTCTGTGCGTGTGTCTGTGCGTGTGTGTGCGTGTGTGTGTGTGGAACAGGGCAGTCTGGTGGATTACCTGCGCTCTCGGGGCCGGACCGTGTTGGGCGGCGAGTGTCTGCTCAAGTTCTCTCTGTGAGTAAACCTCTCATTACACGCGTCTGTCAGTCTGTCGGGATCTTTAGCGTGTTTGTGTCCGTGTCGCAGTGACGTCTGTGAGGCCATGGAGTATCTGGAGGCCAATAACTTTGTGCACAGAGATCTGGCGGCTCGTAACGTCCTGGTGTCCGACGACAACATCGCCAAAGTCAGCGACTTCGGTCTGACCAAGGAGGCCTCGTCCACTCAGGACACGGCAAAACTGCCCGTCAAATGGACCTCGCCTGAGGCGCTGCGAGAGAAGGTACTGGTCTGTCTTTCAAGAAAAGCTTCAGATTAAGATCGAAGCTCGTGTCTGGAAGTGACGTTCCTGCTGGATGTCGGAGATCATATTTTGCATTTAAAGCGTGTGAATGATTCGCTTTCGCGCTAGTTTTTCCCATTTGACTCGTTCTAAATTGTGAATTTCACAATTTTTTCGTTTGATTTTCAGAGAATCTCACCAGTACTAGTTTCATGGCATTGATAGATTTTTCTGTTGTGTTGTTGCAGAGGTTTTCTACGAAATCTGACGTGTGGAGTTACGGCGTTCTGCTGTGGGAGATTTACTCTTTCGGACGGGTGCCGTACCCCAGAATTGTAAGACTTTTATTGTTTTCATTCTTTTGACAAGAAATGCACTGCATTTTAATTTATATATGATATATATATGTGTGTGTGTGTGTGTATGAGTATGTGTGTGTGTGTGTGTGTGTGAGTGTGTGTGTGTGTGTGTGTGTGTGTGTGTATGTGTGTGTGTATGAGTGTGTGTGTGTGTGTGTATGTGTGTGTGTATGAGTGTGTGTGTGTGTGTGTATGTGTGTGTGTATGAGTGTGTGTGTGTGTGTGTATGTGTGTGTGTATGAGTGTGTGTGTGTGTGTGTATGTGTGTGTGTATGAGTGTGTGTGTGTGTGTGTATGTGTGTGTGTATGAGTGTGTGTGTGTGTGTGTATGTGTGTGTGTATGAGTGTGTGTGTGTGTGTGTATGTGTGTGTGTATGAGTGTGTGTGTGTGTGTGTATGTGTGTGTGTATGAGTGTGTGTGTGTGTGTGTATGTGTGTGTGTATGAGTGTGTGTGTGTGTGTGTATGTGTGTGTGTATGAGTGTGTGTGTGTGTGTGTGTGTGCGTGTGTGTGTGTGTGTGTGTGTGTGTGTGTGAGTGTGTGTGTTATTTTTGTCTGTATTATTTTTTATTTATTATATAGGTTTATATTATATAGGCTTGTTTGTTTTTGTTTTGCACTATGGTCAGTTTTTCTGAAGATTTATTTCCAACATCATTGAATTATTTAATATACACAGAGCTGGGTGCATTGCTTACTAATTGTAGTCCGTTATTTGATTACGACTACTTTTGAGAATTATTTTAGATTACTTTTCAGCAAACTCGTTTTAAACTTACATTAAACGTACCGTACTGATATAAAAAAAGCAAAGAGAAAGAAAACTTTTTTTTTTATTTTTTATATCAACATCATAAAATGCATTAAACGTTACTTTGCACCAGGGTTTCCCAAACCGGGCGTAATGTAAGAAGTGCAGTTGGTTTGATAAAAAGCTAATAATTAATTAAAACATAAAAATATACAATAAAACTCATTTAAACTGTTGAACACCTATTTGTTTACCTACATGTCAGTGTTATTAAATTATTTGAAATATTACCTTCCTCTGAGATATTTCAAGGACGTATTTTATTTTAAGGGGTTTGGCTGACAAAAACGTTTGTGTTTACGTTAATAAACATGAAAACAACACGCCCAAAGTCTTCCATTATGAATAATTTACTGCTATTGTGTGAATAGTATGTAATCATGTAATCCATAAAAAAGTACCTGTAATCGGATTATGAGCATTTTAAAATGTAATGTGTAAATGTAATCCAATCAGTTGCTACCCAGCACTGCATATCTATGAATAATTTATTTTTTGAGTGTTAGAATAATGTCTTGTATGCCAGCTTTAGATGCAGTGTTTGTAGGTCGTCTGTATGGTGTGCTGTGGTTCTGCGTGTGTCCAGCAGAGTCTCAGCTCTGTCTGTGGTCTCTCTGCAGCCGCTGAAGGAGGTGGTGCCGCGGGTGGAGAAGGGCTATAGGATGGAGGCTCCTGATGGCTGTCCTGTCGCCGTCTATGACCTGATGAAGCAGTGCTGGACGCTGGACCCCGCAGGACGACCCTCGTTCCGTCTGCTGCGTGAGAAGCTGCAGCACATCAGAGCCAAAGAGCTGCACCTGTGAGGACGATCCAGACCCTCTGCATCACAAACCAAACCTCTTACTGGGGCTCCACACACTCTTTGTGTACTTGAACGTGGACTGTTGATTTGGACGCTCTCTCGTGATCCGTGACGTGAGAGGAGGAACACACTGACGTCTGTGTGCGCGTGTGTGTGTGTGTGTGTGTGTGTGTGCGCGTGTCAGTGTGTGTGTGTGTGTGTGTCTGTGTGTGTGCGTGTGTCAGTGTGTGTGTGTGTGTGTTTCTGTGTGTGTGCGTGTGTGTGTGTGTGTGTGTGTGTGTGTGTGTGTGTGTGTGTGTGTGTGTGTGTGTGTGTGTGTGTGTGTGTGTGTGTGTGTGTGTCAAAGTGCCTGCTGGAGTTGACAGAGCAGTGCCTGTGTTCCTCCGACAGCAGACTCAACGCCTGTCTTCTTATTCTTTTTTTAAATCGGTCTTTTTTTAATGTCTGTATTTGTTGATTTGTCATCTGCATCGAGAGGGGTTTGTGTTCACTAGTGCCAGACTGAACTGCGGCAATGAGCTGGGAAACACACACACACCAGCTGAGCTCATGTGCCTGCCATCACACACACACACACTCTCCCTCTAGAGGACTCGGAGGCTCAGTCCATCAGAACTCTTACTGCGTCGGTCTGTTTTATATTAAAATATATTTAAGAAGTGAGCGTCAGACGGACTCATGCATGCTCAGAGAGGCCTCGAGTAACGTGTCCGTGCTTTCAATGTTCATTGTTTTAATATTCTGCCATGATTATGAATAAATCATTCCATCTGACCTGCACAGAGTGTGTGGTTGCTGGGGGGCGGAGCTGTCGGCAGGAAGTGACCTCGTCACTGTCGATGAGCGTCGCATCTTTCAGACTGCTGTGTTTGTGTTTGTGCTGTTCAGATGAACACACACTCATCTCAGCGTCTCGGTAAAAGAAGTTTTGCATCTGTGACGAGCTGATTATCACCACAAATAATTTCTGCTCATTCCTCAGTCTGTGAAAGCACGGGAATACATGTACAGTCATGCATTTGGGAAGACAACAGCACTTTTATTTGTTTATTATTATTTAGTATTTGAATTTCTATACTATAGTAGTATTTAATATTTTTTGTTTTTATATTTTCAGTTTTCATTTTAGTTTAGGGTTTAGTAAGTTTTGTTTTTGTCATTTTTAATAGGTTTTGTTTATGTGTAGCTTTTTATTTCTGTTTTAGTCATTTTAGTAATATTTCAGCTACATTTCTAATTTTAATTCTAATTTTTCAAAATTTAAATCATTTGTAGGTCTTCATCTAATGTTTATAATTTATTTTCTGCATATGAATTTGTCATAAACACAGGATTATTTCATTTGAATTTAATTCATGTTTAGATGGATGAAACTGAGCTGAATAGAATTAGAATTAATGTTTTAGAAAAACTACCAATGCTTTACGAGTTGGTAACCAGTTTTAGTATTGTTAGTAATAATATTTGGTATACTAAATACTATTAGAATATTTATGCATACTTTTATTTTTATATTTTAGTTAAGGTTTTTGTGCTTTTGCCTTTTAATTATTTTGTTGTTGTTGGTTTCATTTAGTTTGAGTTTATTTTTATTTCAGTTTTAGTAATTCTAGTACTTGCACTTAAACTATTTTATTTCAGTTAATTGCTAAGGCACAAAATCTGTAACTCGCATTTTAATTCTAATTTCTAATTTTAAATAATTCTGTGTCAAATTTTAACAATTGAGTTTAGGTTTTCGTCTTTTATTTTCATGCGTACAAATTCACAATCAGGACTTTTTACAAAGAGATAATAGTGAGGCCTGAAATGTATAAATCTTTTTACATGACTCAAAGAAGAATTAGTGCTTTAGGAAAACCTCAATGCTTTACCAAACGTAGGGAGTATTTGGAGTAGTTTTTCTGTGCTCTTAAGTTGTACTTAACCCTTTGCATTCCTTCTCAGCTCCAGTCGTCTCTGGTGCTTGTGCTTGTGTAAATGTTGTGTTTTTCTGAAATCTCTGTCAGCGCTGAGGTTAGTTGTGGTGTTAGTTGAGTGAGTTTGTAAGGAATCAGCTGGACACGAGCTGTGCCGTGGTTTGAGTGTGTTTTGTTCCTGGTGAAGATCTCATTAATGTTTGATTTCTCCTGGGAGCTGCCGAGATCTATTTGGGTGCGTTTCACAGAAACGAAGCGTCTGGCACTCGCTGTGTTTTATCTGAGAGGTGAGACTGAATGAAGGATGGATCCGCTGAACTCCAGCAGCAGCTGTTTCTGCATCACGCGCTTCTATTACATTACATTTCTGTCTAGCTTTAGTTGAGGTTAGAACATTTTCTTGACATTTTATTTGAGTGATTTTGTTTTGTGCGGTGTCATTTTCTTTATTTAATTTTTAAAGAGCTTTATTATTTTATCTTACAGATTTTTATTACATTTTTTTCTATTTGCTATTTATTTGTTTGTTTGCAAAGTAAACGTTTTTTATTATTATTATTAAATTTCTGTTTGGCTTTATTTTTTATTTTTTGTAATTTTACTTCAACTAACCTGAACTTCATTTTATTTCAGTTATTGGGACAAAATTATTTTCCAGATTTTTTGTTTTGTTTTATGCTTTTGTCATTTTTTATTAGTTTTTTTATTTTATTACATTTCTATTTAGATTTAATGTATTTTTACTTCAGTTTGTTAATACTTCAACTTTTTTAAAACAGTTTTGTAGAAAAAAAATTCTTAAACATTTATCATTTTTATTACAATTTTAAATAATTTCTCATTTTAAATAATTCAGTTTAAGTTTTTCATCTTATATTTTATTTCAGCTTTATTTCAATTAATAAAATTAATATTTTAAATATTTTTAGCTTTAGTTTACAATAACAACAGTGCTGAAATGACTTGCAGAACTGATGTAGTAAGGTTAGTTGACAACAATGTTGGATGTTTTTTCTAATGTTATCTAATAGTTCATTTACTCCGTTCTGAACACATTGACTGATGTGAGTGTTTCATGCTCTTGCGATTCTGCTGGTTTTAATCACAGTTGTTCTGCTGAATAGCAGTTGGAAGGGGATGCTGCATTCCCATTAAGTCCTGCAAACAGATGCCAAGCGTCTGTGTGTTTTAGAAGAGTGTTTGCTGTTGCAGGATCTGACGGATGAGTGAAAGCATCGCTCTGAAAATCTCAGATCAAGACGAAACTCTGAAATGCCTTGTTTTCAGGAGTCTGTAATTGGTGGTTTTGTTCCAGGTCTGTGGGTTTGTGTTGTTCGTGTGTTCGACCCTGACATGAATCTGACCCTGGGTCGCTTATGTAAGTTTGACCTGCAGCGACTCTGAGTTCAGCTGATGACACACATTCACGCATGCTCACTCTCACACTCACTCGCGCGCACACACACACGCTCACTCACACGCTCTCTCACACACACATGCTCACTCTCGCACACTCACTCTCACTCACACACACGTACACACACACACTCTCACACGCGCACACACACACATTCACACACACGCTCACACACACTCTCACACACACAGATACTCTCTCACACAGACACTCACACACACACACACACTCACTCACACATGCTCACTCTCACACACTCACTCTCACACACACACTCTCACACGCGCACACACTCACTCTCACACATTCACACACACGCTCACACACACTCTCACACACACAGATACTCTCTCACACAGACACTCACACACACACACACACTCACTCACACATGCTCACTCTCACACACTCACACTCACACACACACTCTCACACACACAGATACTCTCTCACACACACACAGACACTCTCACACACGCACACACTCACTCACACATGCTCACTCTCACACACTCACACTCACACACACACTCTCACACACACAGATACTCTCTCACACACACACAGACACTCTCACACACGCACACACTCACTCACACATGCTCACTCTCACACACTCACTCTCACACACACACACTCACTCTCACACACACACTCACACACACAGATACTCTCTCACACACACACACAGACACACACACACTCTCACATGCACACACTCACACTCTCACATGCACTCACTCTCACACACTCACTCACTCACTCACACATTCACACATGCTCACGCACACGCTCACACACACGCTCACTCACACACACATGCACACACGCTCACTCTCGCACACGCTCACTCACACACACACTCTCACACACAGATACTCTCTCACACAGATATTCTCACACAGACACGCTCACATGCACACACTCACTCTCACACATGCTCACTCTCACACACTCATTCACACACGCACACACACTCACACATTCACACACATGCTCATGCTCACTCTCACACACACGCTCACGCACACATGCACACTCTCACGCTCACGCACACATGCACACTCTCACACTCACTCTCACACACAAACACTCATACACACACTCACTCGCGCACACACACACTCTCTCACACATTCACACACGTTCACACTCACACATTCTCACACGCGCACACTCTCTCACGCACACACTCTCACACACGCACACACTCTCTCTCTCACACACACACTCTCTCTCTCTCACACACACTACACACTACACACATACACACACACGCCTGTGCTCGTGCATCATCGTAGCTTTTTCGTATTCATTAACTTTTAAATTAACACCCATATTTAGTAATTAACTGCTGACAGCTTCATTTCCTCTCAGCATTTCAGACAAACACAAACGCTTCGTCCGCTGACCTTGAGTCAGTTTGTGCTGTAATACTTCATCTGGATCATATTTCTGCTGAAGAGAGAGTGTGTTGTGTTAAGATTAAAGGTCAGTGTTCAATCATGTAATAACGTTCATCAGTAAATAAACCCGTCAAACTCATATTAATTATTGTTTCATTATCATCTGCGTTCAGGCGAGGGTTATGAGCTGGTAACACAACAAAAGGACATACATGGAGTCTTTTATTGACGAACCTCAGAAAATCTGTGAAAAAAAAGAAGGTAAAGTTCCTCTAGAAAATGGGTTCATTTTAAAGGGAATCCATTGATTTATTGATTTTTTTTTTTCCATTCCAAATTCAGTAGCAAATCATGAAATAAAATATAAATATTAAATTAAAAATAAATAACAAAATTGAGAATTAGATATTATTTAAAATGCTCTCAAATGTAAAATGAGAAACAAACACGCCCTCTCTCTC